GATTTTTTTACCGAATTTTGAAGAATAAAAGAAGTTTTTGTTGTAACTTCCGGTCTGATGACATCATCGGCCCAAGACTTCACACACGTTTTGACAGGGTAAAGATGATTATCTACATCAATTTTTGAGCAATTCGAACAAACTTCGCCACAGACATCTATTCAAAATTCATTTTAGGAATTTTTAATCTGTCGCTAGAGGGCGCTCAATAATTAGGTGATGTCATCAGTAGATGATTTGAAGAATACAATACCCCGACAGACAAACACCGTTGAAAACAACTTGAAACCTATCACCTTTTTTAAACAATAGACCACTTCCGGTTTCGACTGGAAGGAAAGGTCACGTGATTTGACCCACACGAGATGAATTCAAGACAAAATTTTATCCTGCCACTTGCTGCAAACAGAATGTTGCGGGAGGCCACAGGTAATTTTATATGGATTTTTATAAATTTAACGGAATATTTAAATATTTAATATTTAATAATAAATCGCTTGATGACGTGCATGTAATCATTACGTAAATATTTCAGTATGATCTTCGTTTTATAGTCAGTGCTTGCCGTAACTTTGACGATCAACGATTACTAAAGTACCGCAATAGTGCCTCAAAAACATGAACAAAGTGAATGGGCTGAAATAAATATTTAAAAATCAATAATAAATCACTTGATGACATCATCGTGACATCATGCTTCGGCATACATCTACGCAATAATGACTATGACTATAACTATAACTATGACTATAAAGACATGCCTATGCCAACTTTGAATGCTGTGCAACAAAGATTAATGGCAAAAGTCATGCACAGAAAAAAAAACGTGTGCAAAGTCTGTGGGCTTTGGACCCAAAAATAAGAAGAACCCAAAAAACAAAAAATGCTGACGATTACAAAGGCTTTTTCGCAAAATTGCAAAAAAATAAAAAAAAAACCAAACCAGTGCCTTTTTCACAAAATTGTGAGAAAGCAAAAAAACACAACAAAGAGAATGCTTTTTTAGCAAAATTGCGAAAAAGCCAACTAGAGCTCATCTGTCTGTTGCCCAACTGAACAGAGGGCTTTTTCGCATTCCTTTGTTAATTTGAAAAACCAATCTACTGCACAAACCTGATGGTGTAATTATTTCATCATGACCATTTGGGTCCAAGATTTCAACCCAATCAGGCATGCAATACAAGAAATAACTTGTTTTAAATAAGCACTTTGTCAATAAATAAAGATATAAAGAATGATTTTTTTTTCAGAGGAAACAAAATAGCCTCATTTTGTGATAATGTTCCTTTTTATCCTTCATTTACTCCATTTTTCCAGTCTTCTCCTTAAAGATGCCATACACCAAGAGAATGAGATAGGAAAAATTACACTGTGTCACCTTACACTTATTTAAGCGGCAAGGAGTGACTTCATTTTTTCTTTCCGGAACTTTTTTCTCTGGATAATCTTAAATGTAGCAACAACTTTGACATTCATCTTATTACTTAAATTGGTGTTTTGCCAAAGGAATAATAAATTATGTGGGTATCGCACATCTCATTATTTTAGTGGACTCATTCTTTTATAGATGTCTGAAACAATTGTAAAAAAGTCTCCTTTCTGAGTTCTAATTCTCTGAGAGTTATGACCTTCTCATTAGACCTGAACCATGTGAACTATTTTATTCAAAATTCATGTTACAAATTCTAAATATCTGTTGCAAATCCTTCAAATTGTTTAAGAAATTAAAACAAAGTGACAATAATGCTGACGTAATTATTCGCCAATTGCCCTGGGCGCAGAGGGTAAAATTACAATTGATATTGATGGAGATTGGGGGTGCTTTATACTCTCGAAACATTTTTCAGGGCAGAGGCCCTCATTTTGAACCCCCCCCCAAAAATGGGCATTTTCGCAGTTAAAATGTGCCTTTGGACACCTTAGAAACAACTGTTAAAGAGATTGATGGTGGTTGACACAGTCAAGGAGAACAAATTCGGAAAAATTACATCTTTGAATACAAAATTATCAAAACTTACGGAAACATGCAGAATTTTTCACTGTTTTAACAAAACTTATCCTCAGACCATAAATTACTGATAACCTGGGTGAATATTTGCCGAAGGGGAACTCACTGGCAGCGCAATATTTCAAGTTTCCAATACCGCGAGAAAAGAGTTACATGTACGTATGGTTTAGGCTACACGCTACCGCAATAATAATGTGCCAAGATATACACTTCGCGGCCTAGGCCTACTACCTGGTACTGGACGCTAGGGTTTGCCAGCCCCACTAGTTTGTCTGTCCGTGAGATGGCAAACAGATACATATTGTTTTAGTGAGACAAAATCAAGTAAATCCCAATTTTCTGCTTGGGAAAATTTTAATTTTGACTGCTGATAAAGTCGAGGATATAGAGGGCGGGCAGCATGTCGGGGGTGAAAGTTAAAACACACACACTGCATAAAGACTGAACTAAAATTTGTCTGCAGCCTAATAAAGAGGACAATTTTGACGGTTGCCTTGCCAAAAAGACTGAATTTTAGCCACCAAAAGGATGCTTGACTTTGTCAATCGCCACAGCAAGCGGCGTCTTTCCTGCAACCCTGCACTTCACGTATGTTTTTCACGATTGCTCTCGATCTTGTTGCATGTGTCCATTTTTACCGTGTTCATGACATTAGTTGATGTATTTGCAGGACATTCCTTGAAGGGACAGTTGTGTCCATTGCTGACAAGAGCCTCCTTCCATCAGCTGTTGAAATTCTGTGTTGTACAAACCCCAACATTTCTCAGTCAGCATCAACGTGGGCCAGCCATCAGAATTATTATTTCCTCGCTCTGTGGTGTACATGTGCATGTATGAGGACAGCATTGCAACTAAAGTCCACTGCAGAAGGCTTGATGTCAACAAACCGGCATGCTGCTCGTACCCCTCTGACTCTGGCACTCGAGTTTGTCTAGAGAAGTCGTCTCGGCAACATCGGGACGGAGCAGAGTGACATCCTTCAATTGTCAGCACTGCATTGGACTGGTCCTTGAAGACTCATCTCTAGCAACTTCTTCCTATTTACTCCTGTGTTTGCTTATACAGACTGTTGGTGAGTTCATCTGAAATGGACTGTAAGTTTGGCAGGGACAATTTGTGGCCATTCTGACACCAGCCTTTGCTCCATTTGCAGACTGCACATTCCAATCAACCCAGTATTGCTGCAGAACTAGTTAGCTGTGCAAGTCTGATAAATTTTCTCCTGTGTGTTAGCATCTGACGAAATGCATGTGGCCATACAGACTCACTGTCAAACCCCATAATAATGAACAGAGAGCACATCAAATATACTTTACATGCATTACATGGAGTTAGATTTCTTTTATTTTATTAGGGTGTAGGTGTGGTGCGTATGTGGGGGGGAAGGTGGGGGGAAGATAGGTCAGTAACCCAGCTAGTACAGCTGTGGCTAGGTTGTGGTAGAGGCAGGGCTAGGGAATCATTAAAAGTGTCATGATATATCCACGGCTTGTAGTTTTATGGAATTGGGCAGCCACGAACAGGGATTAACCCTGACATCTAGTCCTGAATCCTCCAATTTCAGTATGATTTTTACATACACCAATGCATAGCATCAGTGCCCATTGTGTACAGCTGTTGATCTTCTGTTGGCGTTTCTTTATTGCAATAAATTGAGAAATAGCTAAAATACCAGAGAGCCTGATGTCACATTATCATCTGTAACATATAGAAAGTCCCACATACACTTTAAAAAGTCCAACTGTGCATATAAACTTATAATTAGAACCCTTCCCTTTCCACCCAGGATCCACCCCCAAAGTGGGCATATCCACAACAAAATGAGCCCAGATTGACTGCAAAATAGAGTGTTTGTGTTAAAGAGGGAAATTTTGTCTAGATTTGGTGAGGGAATGAAAGAAATAAGCACTCAAGATGCACAAGGCATGCACACAGGCATGCAGTTTTCCTATTCAAATCGTGCAAAATGGCATGGCCATGCCCTTATGCGTTAACCCCTACGGTTTCTCCCAGGGGCTATATTTTTCAATTTTTTTTTACATAATGACTTGGGATATATTCTGATTCTCTTAAGTGTGCTGTTGTGCCACAATGTGAAAGTTGCCCACTATTAAAGGGTGCACCCTCGTATTTAGGCCAGAAATGTGTCCGCTGAGCTCAATAATAAAAGTTATACACTCAAAATATTCTATATTAGAGGTTCCTGAGAGCCATGGAACTGGGGAATTGAAGAAATATGAGACTGAACCTCTGGGCAGAACTCAAGGCTACCAATTCTGAGCAATTTGGATGCAATCAGGTCCGAAAGTGGCACTATTAGAGCCATTTTGCAGAGGGATGGTTTTTCAAAATGGCTACTTTTCTGGACAGGGACACTTTCTGCATTTTAGGGGTTGTCTGCTTTTGGTGAAAATTTCTCAACAATTCATTGCTCAACCCCACGAAAATTGAAAGGAAAATGAAAGAGGACACGTGGAACATCATTTTTCTGAGTAGCCTGAACACCTGTGAGAGTTGTGAGTATATTTTAAATATTTGTGAAGTATGGGGATTTATCACTGTTGTCTGTTGGAATTTATTTCTAGTGGTGCACCCTTGAAATCCGACGCACGAAGCGCTGCCTTCGTTTTCCAAAATGGCGCCGCCCGTGGTCAGCATTTAATAGTACAGGACGGGTTTTTCAAGGCCTACATCGGAAAATTTACGATTTTGGAAAGCTTTAAGGTGCTCGTCTGAAAGTCCAAACTCTGAGAAATACGCCGGTGTAAGTAAAATTGTCAAGTCATTCTCATTTCGGGAGATATTAGGAGTCAAAGTTTGTGACAATCCTGCAGTTTGGATTTCAGCATGTAAAACATGCTTTCAAGTAGGGCTGTGGTGGCGACAGATATTGTAAAAGAGAGCCACTACAGCCCTATTTGTGGGGCTAATGCAAGCTGTGTTCTTTCAAAAGTAAAATCCACTAGTCGGAGATCTATATTTGAAAACATACCTTAAGTCTGTTGGCAGATTTCAAGGACTGCAGAGACATTTTTTTGTTTTTACGCACTAAGTGCAGACGCCGGCAGGTACACTGGTCAGGTAGGTGTATGCATTGATCTTCACGGGAGACACTATCCTCCCGATGCATCACGCGTAGTATACTAGTACCGCACGCCCGCCGTTCCTACTTGTTGGCAAAAACCGCACCACTCATTGTGCGGTGGGCACTTGGACACAATCCTGCGCCCTCAAGCGACGAAGTGAGTAAAAGGAAGACGTAGGTGCAGGCCACAGACGTATGTAAAAAAACATCTGGACTCGCTTAATGCCCTTAATCAGCTTATGGAGATCATTGAATCCACTAGCAGCCATTTTACCGAGCCGAATACAAAGCTTGCCCGGCAATGCCCGCCTTTGTTCTCCCTGGTGTCAATAGAAGGGAGCCAACCCACGCTTTTGTTATTCGGCTCGGTAAAATGGCTGCTGGTTGGCTTCTATTTCATGCAAAGGTGTTGCAAGTCCTGGTGTTTTTTTTATATACGTCCGTGGTCCAAACCAGTAAATAAGTTGCCATAGACAACAGCGGTGATAAATGAAGAAAATGTCCTGTATTTGTTGGTTCTTTCCTCGTAAATTCTTTGCTACCATATGCGACGAATTGGGTTTTTAGGTGGTCTTTCCACACGTAACAGAATAAGGGGGCTGGTCCAGGAACGAACTAAACCAGAAATATTTTCCAGTTTGACCTTTTCTGTCCTTGGTAAGTTTGACGTTGACGAGTTTGTTAAGGAATATGAAACCACTCCTGTAACCTAAACTTAACTCCTTATAAAAGTCTGAGTTGTTTGATGTTGCTAAGTACTATACAGTTACGGTAACCTCTAGCATGAAAAAAAGCTGCCTTTTAGGGACGTATTGGTTAAGTTTTCATAGATGACGAGCTTTTGCAAGTTCAAATTCTACGAAGCCATTTTTCGATTTGAAAAAAATCTCTATTTACTTAGGCCCTAATCTGGCCCTTAGGGAGTCGAAAAAATGTGGTTGAAACATTTGAAATAAAGATACAGCAGTACCGAAGAGCAAAAGAGTGAACGTATTTTGGGAGCACATTTAAACAAAATACAGGCAGTGTAAATGCGTTGCGCGTATTGCGCACTGAACGCACTGCCGTCCGTCGCTTCGCCCATTGGTTGCCCATACTTTTCAAAATCACCGTTTTACGCCCAAGACTGACAGTCTTTTGCATATAATGGTGTACCACTGCAATGAAATCGAAAACACTCGGGCTCTCAACTTGTGACCCCTGACCCTTGCGTTATATCTGTTTATATCTGTGGGTTAAAGAATTACATTATTCACACAAAACAAAATCACCCCCGAAAAGTGATTTTTCCCGAAGTGTGATTTTAGCCACTTTTCAAGTGGCAACCCTCAACTTACTTGGGCACTTAAGACCATTATCAACCGTAGTTTATAGCCATTCTGCTCTCATATGAAAGCTCTGAGACCTAGGGAGCCCCTGGCAATAACAATGATTCAAACAAAACTCAACACGAGTAAAAACGATTGCGGTTACACCATGGATCAATCTCTTTCTTGAGTATGTGTGGTTCTGAGAAGAACCGAGGAATAACTCGACGTTACGGACAGTGTACGCTGTCCGTCTTCTCCTGTATCCCCGCTTCTGGCGGACATGTTCATGGAGGAATTTGAACAGCTAGCCATCAACACAACAGACCACAGACCCAACGTTTGGATCCGATATGTGGATGACACTTTTGTCATCTGGCAGCATGGGCAGGACAACCTCCGACTCTTTCTGAAACACCTCAACGGGCTTCACAGCAGCATCCAGTTCACCACGGAACAAGAACGTAATGGCAACATTTCGTTTTTTGATGTTGAGGTGACCAGAAAGGAGGACGGTAGCCTAAGCCCACACGGTCTACCGCAAGCCCACCCACATGGACAGATACCTCCACAGCACGTCCTTCCACCACCTCAAGATCAAGTCGTCTGTCGACCGGGCCCTTGTCCTTGTCCACAGGGCATACAACATCTGCGACAAAGAATTCCTCGGCCAAGAACACCACAGCTCTGCAACGTAACGGATACAAGCCAAGTCAAGACCCAAGATCCCAGATCCAACCCCGGCCGAAGGGTCTCCTATACCCAAAGCCAACTAGTTTAAGTGCCCCTAGTTCCATCACCCTCCCCTACTTAGACAGTACTTCCCACTATATCCAGCGCATTCTCCACAAGTACGGTATCCGAGTTTTCCACACAGCCCCACTGCAGTTGCACAACCTGCTCACCTCGCACAAGGACCGGCAGGACCCCCAGCGCAGACCAGGGGTGTACAGAATTCCTTGCCAATGTGGTAAAGTGTACATCGGCGAGACGGGCAAGGACCTCCCTACCCGAATCAACAAACACAAAGCCCGTGGCAGGAAGGGAGAACTTGATGAGTCGTCAATAATTAAGCACTCCCACACTGAAGACCATCACATCAACTGGAACCAAGCTGAACTCATCACCAGCATCGAACGATGGTATCCCCGCCGCATCAGAGAAGCCATAGAAATAATTAAGCATGAAACAATTCCCCTAGACATCGGTTTCCCTCTGCCTCCGCGTTATTACTTCCTTAATTTGATTTGTCCGAGTCATCCAAGGTTTATCATTATTGTGACGTCTAATAATTTTAAGATGAAAATGGTCTTTAATCGCACAATGAACCAGATTATAGAAGGCATCTGCTTTGGCTTGACAGGAATTACTATTCAAAATGCCGACCCAGCTCTGTGCCTGTACCCATCTACCAAAGGATCTGATACTGGATTCCTTCATAGGTCTTATCATTTTAGTTGTCATTTTTTTACAAGCAGTACATTTTTGGGAACCCAAGTAATACAATTGTGATCACTCTGATCAATAGGAGCGGATACAGTAGGACTTTGATATTGGTCCGAAAGTTTGTAATAATAAGATCTAGTACAGCATCCTGTCTTGTCGGTTTGTTCACAATTTGCACAAGATTATTGCCACTGCAAATTTCCACTGAGAGCTGAGTATGTTCCTAGGAGGATTCTGAAGAAACATCCAATGAACAATAACAGACAAACACTTCTTCGATGTAACAAAAATAGAACACAGGGACCCGCGCTCTTCAGATCTGGGTAACTGGTATTCCCAATACAAGTATCAGCCAGGCTTCAATTTCACGTTCATCTCGAGAAAATAAGAACAATGAATATTATTACACCCCGGACGATAAACGTCAATGTGAGCACTCATTGTAACTTACATTGTACATGTACATGTACTTATTACAAGTAATAATACACAGTAAATGTTTGAAATCAACGACTAATCAGGACGAACTTGAAATATTGGGACAGCGCGCAAAGAATTGTAAGGGCGATTTCATGTCTGTGCGTGGCGCCAGGTGACATGAGCTGGTGATGAGCAATCAGCCCTGTTTAACGTCTTGGGCGAAATTCAGTTAACACAAAACTAATAATAAATCGGACGCCATAAATCCCAAATATTGTGCTGATATTTTAAGAGCTGTTATTGATATTGTAACGGCCGCGAAATTACTGCTTGAAGTACACAATTGTCGACTCGGCGAGGATGTACAAGCTGGAGAGACCGTCGTTGGTTCAAGAATAACAACAGGTTTATTGTCTCTCAACAGTGCCTGTGCACACCGTTCCAGATGCGTGCAATCCCATGCACAAAACGGAGCGCCAACGTACATTGCGATTGAACGTTGAGTGAGACGCGCTCCTTACCAAAGATTGTATAGTGCCGCTGCGCGGCGCTATACAATCTTTGGTCTTGATGTCGTTAAAGTGAAATGATCGCGCGTCGCGTTCGTCACGTCTTTATTTTTAAGTCGCACGTCCAAGACGCACACGTGTCTTTTGCTTATATGCGCATGTACTGTACACGCATGTACTGGGTATCAATTTGAGTCATTGCTCCATAACAACCAATCGATGACGCAAAGTGCTAATTTATCTTTCTGATTGGCATCTGCTTCTTTGGCTTCTTCGTAGATTAGTTTCTTTATTTCCTGCCCAAAAATTATCTCGTTGTCTAGTCCTGCACCGCGTTGTAACTTGTTCTTCCGTTGAACTTTTCGTTTTGTTCTGCAGGGTTCATCTTAACATCTTTGCTGCGTTTAAATTTATATAAATTTGCTGCGTTTGTTGTCTTGTTTACTGTTCGTTTCCTTCCAATTCCATCCGAATGGTTTGTTCCCAGAATATGGCTTAAGTTGGTTGCTGTGTATCACCCTCGGTTTCTTCTTTGATCCTTTCTGCACTCGGTATGTTACATCACTCAGTCGCTCGGTAATGACAAATGGACCTTCCCAGTATCTCTGCAGTTTTGGGCTCACCCCAACTTTCTTGGTTGGGTTGTATAACCAAACTGGGTCTCCACGTTTATAACTTCCCCTGCCCGCCTTTTGGTCATAGTTCTTTTTCTGTTGCTATTTTGAGGTGCTGTCTTGCTTATTGTTGTACCGTCCCCATTTTCTCAAGTAGCATCTCCGCGTACTCTGTATGTCCGTTGCATTCGTTCTCAGGTGGCCGTTCCATCAATAACTCGACAGGTAACTTCACATCGCGATCCATCATCAACTCACTAGGTGTACATCCCGTTGATGCATAGATTGAAGTTCGGTATGCCATCATGACGTTTGGTAGGTGCTGGTCCCAATCACGTTGGTTGTCTGCAGTGAGCATGGAGAGCATTGTCTCAAGCGTTCTATTAAAGCGCTCTACCATACCGTCAGATTGAGGATGCAGTGCTGTTGTTCGAGTCTTGTCGATGCCAAGCAGTTGACAAACCTCACAGAACACTTTTTATTCGATGTTTCCACCTTGATCTGAGTGAGTTATAACGGGACACCATATCTACAGATGAATTCTTCTGTGAGAACATTAGCGACTGTGGTTGCTTCTTGATTTGGAGTGGCGTATGCCTCTGTCCATTTCGTGAAGTAATCCGCCACTACCAATATGTACTTGTTTCCTCGGTCCGAAACTAGCAAAGGACCTATCACGTCAACGGCTATTCTTTCCGTGGGTATGCCGACACTTTACTTCTTCATAGAGCTACAACGGTGCTTCTGTGGTGGTTTACGAGTTGCACAGATATCACAACTCTTGCAAAACTTACTCACCTCACTTCGCCACTCGTACCCGTAGAACTTTCTCTGAACTCTGTCAGACGTTTTAGTCCGTCCCAAGTGTCCGGACGTTGGTTCACTGTGAAGAAGTTTCATCAAGTCTTCACGCATATTCGAAGGAATGATTATGTTATCTTATCACCTACGGCTGATTCCCATCGTCTATACAGCACTCCCTCACGTACTTCTAGACGCTCCCATTGCGTCCAATAAGATTTAACTACTCTGCCCTCGGGAGAAACGTCTGCCCAGTCTGGTGGCACTTCTCTTGGCTCTTTCCATCGGAGCACCAGCCCGATGTCTTTGTCATTCAGTCATTCAGCTGCAACCTTCTCAAGTCTTTGGCTGTCCATCCGAGGTCTCCTGACCTCCAGCCCTCTTCAGACTTTTCCTCTGGGGTTTCTTCTCCGGACCTGGTAGTTTCAATCACGGAACAGTACGTTCTTGGTAAATCTTGTGCCTCAGTATTTGCGTTGGGACCATTTATTACAGTTCTTATTTCCTGTACGTCTTTTGTGTCAACTTCTTCTGTGCACCCGGGTTGGGCTGTGTGACTATGCACTTCATAATCCGTGTTATTATCTCTACTGCGGTCTCTTTGCAATTGACCAAGACATCACTTGGCTCTGAGTTATTGGCGGTTGTGGACTATAGTGTGATGGCGTGATCATGCATTCATGGTCGTTGTGCTCGATTCTTCCGCACTGATGATACTCACCACATGGCCGACGCGATAAGCTGTCTGCATTTCCATGTTGCTTTCTGGGTCTGTGTAGTATGTCGAAGGAATACGTATCCATCACTTCTAGCTATCTTGCCGTACTTTCTTTGTCTTCATCATCCATCTCCACTTGCCAGTAACCACTCTGTAGGTCCAAGGTTGAAAACCAAGTTGAGCCAGCTACTGTGCCAGGGAGTCGTCTATCATCAGCAAAGAGAAGGAGTTCTTTATTGTCACGGCATTGAGTTTCCGTTTGCGGTAATCTACACAGAATCTGATGCTGCCATCCTTTTTCTTTACCAGCACTATTGGTGATGCCCATAGGCTAGCAGATGGTTCGATAATACCCCCTCTTTAAAACCACTTGCTGCCGGGTGGATTTTTCTTGAGCAAGACAAGATGCCGGGTCATTTTCAATATTTTCCGTTTTCAAAATTCTTCAAAAATTTATCATTTCATTTAATGGCCGTTTATACCAAAAATGAAGGACTCTAATCTGGCACTAATCTAAAGCTGACAGGTATAATTCATTGACTCTTGAATATTTCAGCCAGGCCTGCAGCCTTAGAAAAAGAGTTCAGATTGTGCGGTGTTACGTAAGATTCTTTTGTTCCCAGAAACCGGCACCGCGCACTGCTGACCTCTTTTCAATGTGTGGCTCATCGCTGCGGTGGTGGAGAGCTTTTGTCCCCAGTGGTAATCCGCTCGCTCTAAATGCCTCAAAACGTGGTACACTGTTTCAAAAAACGAAAACGGGTCACCCGGCAGGGAGTGGTTAACAGCTTGTTTACTTCTTCAGTTGATTCCACCCTTTGATGAATTGGTAGTCGGCGGGCTCGCTGGCGGATGGGGGGGGGTACATCACTGGTGTTTATTTTGTGTCGATACACGGCTGTTTTGCCCAAATCTTCTGATGAATTAGCACACACATCTTGATGTCGTCGTTGTAGTGTTGCAAGATGTTGTCGCTGCTCATTTCCAAGATGAACGCTACATCGGTTGTACAGGTCATCAAGGTGGGCGGGTATGACATTAATGTCTGTGGGCTGATTCTGAAGGTGGTAATTCATTGCCATGACAAGCTGCTGCTCTTACATCACAGCGGTCTACATTTGTCACCACTTCGTCTATTAGCTCGCTGGCAGCAACGTTGGTACCTTTGTAGAGCGTAGATTGTTTCTCTGTCAAGTTCATAATGCGTACTGGTATCTTCCCACTGTTGGCGTTTACCAATGATATGGCAGTTATCATTTCATGTTTTGCCATCAAATTAGCCATTGGTTCAACCACAGCCAGTCCAGTAAATCCTGCTTCTCTTTCAAGCTTCCCAGGTATCAATACCTCTCCACTTGGAGGAATGCTCACAGTAGTGTCTGCAGTGATGCAACACGATGTTGCTGGTGCTCGTGCACTGGCTGTGCACGTTATTGGTATGTCATGTAGCTTCATTTCTGCCTTGCCCACATCAAGGTTACAGTTATATTTCATCATGAAATCATAGCCCAGGATACCGTTCAGATCTATCTCAGCCACCCACACATCAGGTTGTACCTCAGGGCTCTGTTTGCCAATTTAAAGTTGAAAACGAGAGCAGGGGCTTGCCATCTGCTGTTACCACGGTGATTTCTTTGTTCTCTATTATTATTATTATTAAATTCAAATTATGTAGCGCTCATTTCATAAAAAAAATGTTCAGGGGTGCTTAACAATATTAAAAAACCTATTAGAACAACTTTTTACAAAGACCCAAAATAATTAAAATAAACACAATTTAACATTGATTTAAAAGTTTAAACCGAACATGGTGGGACTTCCACACACGGCCAGCACCAACTCTCCCTCTTACGACCCATCGTGCGTCCAAGACTCATCCTTGTGCCCGAAAACTGGAAGCACTCTCCAAGAGAACACCCAGATTCTCCCAGACAGGTCCAACAAAATTAAAAACGACAAAACTACAATCAAAATTAACGATCACCCAGAGCCTAGAAATTAATAATATGCTTTCTTAAAAAGATATGTTTTTAACATTGATTTAAAAGTAATGACACTGGTAGCACTTCTAATATTACATGGAAGCTTATTCAAGAGATGT